CAGAATACGACCGTTCTCGCATCGTTGAAATGATTTTGGATGGCAAATTCGAAAATTTTGCAGGCGTTGATACAGGCTTGAAAAGTTGGAACACCACAGTGACACACAACATTATTACTGGCACCGAAGTAAGTTTTTACATTTATGTTGTATATGTATCAATGGAAGATAGACCGCGTAAATGCTATAATTCAATAACTAATCATTTAAAAAAAAAAAAAATTTCAGACCAACTTTGTGATGTCGAGCAAGCAGTTCCACTGGCAGACTGGTCAAAATGTGCGAAATGCCAAAGCAAAGCGTTGGACCAAAGCTTTCATCGAAGAGGAGCGCCGAGACAGAGAAAATCGTGAGCTGTACCCAGTGATGCCATCGCCAAAAGGATCATACTGGCTGAACTACATCAAGCACCGAGTCAAAATGATGAAGCATGGGATCTGTGCTTACTCGACTGCCAAGTACACTCGACTCGCCTTGGACAAACACATCAAAAGCAGTAGTGTTGTCGACAATTGGGTGGAAAAGGTTACCGATAAGCAATCGACATTGTTTCTTTTTGGTGCTGATGGCGAAGTACCATCTGACAGCCGAATAAGTATCAAAAAGTACGTGCGCTGTCCAGGTGTTCGTAAGACTTTGAGGTCAATAAAGAAGCGCCGAAATTGTGTCATAGATCTGGTGGACGAATGGGGTTCATCTCAAACAGACGCAAGATGTATGAAGCGATTCCAAAACCAGCCCAAATCGGCCAGATTCAAGAAATGCCGGTGCATACCCGACGCCAGAACATTGCTGCCAATAAAAATTGTGTCAAAGTTGGGCAAGAAGGATCTATCGGAATTTGGATTGTTGCAACGCGCCATGAACGAAGCATTGGAAGAAAACGAGCCTTTATTGTCAAAAGTAAAAAGTTACTATAAAAACTGGCAATTAAACCTCGAATGCTCTGTGACTTGGCATCGTGACGTCGTGGCTGCTAAGAACATTCTGCTGAAAGGTAAGGCCAATTGACGATACAATTGCGATTGAATGATTGCTTAAGAAGATTCATTTGTTTGATTTTTCAGGACTATGGACATTGCTAGGACTTCCGATACCGGATGCGATCAATAGATATAAAGTCCGCGATGCTGTCGCTGAGGCCGCCGAAGTAGCCGCTGATGTCGCTGAAGCAGCTGCTGCTGCTGCCGCCAACGTAGATAATGATGTAGAAATGTTCGAGTACGACCAGCAGCCAGCTGATCATGCTGTCTGATCAGCACAACGCAAACAAAAAAAAACAATTGTAACATTAGTTATTAAGGCTATCCCGACCATGTGAGATAGTAGCGTAGCAAAAGGTTGACACCCCATTTGGTTGTTGTTGACTGCGCAGGAGTACAAATGGGGCGTTTTTTCTTTGTAAGTAACATTCAATTTTGAAAACAGTTTTTTGCTTCGGGAAGCGTGACCATCAGTCGATGCTTTGTGTAAATGTCATGATTTGTCTTAGAATTTTTTGCACTTTTAATTAACGACTACCATTTTTTTATTTTCAGATATGAGAAACACCCTACTGTACATAATTGCAATAATTTTCAATTTTATGTCGAACGGAAAGTAGACTTTGTATGCTCAACTAAAGAATCGAGTTCTCTACACATCTTTTGATCTCGTTTTCACGCATTCGCCATTGATTTATTTTAAATTGATCATTCTTTTATTTCAGGCCGTCGACACAAATTATACATTATTTTTAATTATAAACAGACAAAGAAATTTATTTGAATATCCTCATCAAAAGAAACATATTTTACGCTGGCTTTTCTCCACTGGCTGGTATTGGTGTAAATTAAGTTTTTCTTTTGTATAGACCGGCAGCAGATACCGAACTCGAATTACTTGAATTATAAAAAGTCGGGCGTTAAGATTTTACACACAAAAAAAAAGCTTTTATATAGTCATTTCATCAAATGTTCTATTCATTGCTGTTTGATACATGTATATTGTTGAATTTTGCAAGGAAGGAAACACAATTAACAGTAATCTCAATATTGTCTGAACACTTTGTTATGGACATTAAATTGTTAAATGCATTGATACATTCTCGATGAAGCCACCCATAAGAGACCCATGAAAATTTAATGAAGATACCAATGATACCAGGCTTTACTGTGATTCATTGTCTAAAAATAGCAAGTGTTTTTTTGTATGCTCAATCTCTTCTTTATAATTATAAACTGTATAATGAAAAGAAATTCAAAAAAAAAAAAAAAAACACAAATGATGTGGCGAATGTAAAGAGCTTCAACATGGCATAATAGAAAATGATGTAGAGAACACATAAAACTTGAATGCCAAATTTTTATTTTTTTCGATTTGATATTTAATGATGGTTCACCGCATGAACAATAACAACAACAGCAACTACATGAAAAAAACAATCACAATAAAAATGTACAAGTTACGCGACGACGATGTCACAATGTTTGAATGAAAATTGCTGAAGTTCTTTTGAACGAAAGATTCTATCGTGATGTGTCTCTCTTCCTCTCCGTCTCTCCAATTTCTCGGCGTAACCTTTTGCTCTGCCATTTTCGTTGAATTTATCGTAATTCAAGCGTACCCTCGACCCATGATACTATTTCATTGAACTAGTCAACACAGGTGTACATTTGTTATAAAATGCTTTCTAACTGCGTGAATCATTTATCTTTAATCAAGAATTTTTATTGATCGATATAGAATCGAAGTGATTATAGTGGCGGAAAAAAAATTACAAAATGAACAAATTAGCTTCCATACTTAGTTGTAATGGCCCTCAATGATGTTCGTAAATTATGTAATGGCGAAAATTTTCATACACCAAAATTCAAGAAATCGCTGACATTATGCCTATGCTGATCGATGGACAATATTCAGCTGCCAATTCGAGTGTGTGTGTGTGTGTGTGTATCTCTTTCGCTCTGTCGTTAATCACGACTGTTTGAATTGATCGTTTTTTGACTAATGATTTTTGAAATGGTAATTGGATTTAGGTTTTTACATCATTTCTTGACTCGGTCTCGGTGGCTGGAGATCGAGCGTGCCGGACGACGATCTAGGCGAAATTGATTTTGGAAAAATACAAGACGATCACTTCGATTTTTATATAATACAGTTTAATAATTTTCACTCATTTTGGGATCTAGATATGTTTTTCCCCGGAGGCGAATAAAATGTTAGCTTGTGAAAATCCCAGTACCAATTAATTTCAAAACATAAATTATGTGTGTTTTGTTACACATTTTTTGGATGGATTTTTCCATTTCAGTTTCGGTCACGACAAAACGAGTACGGTGGCCGGTACAAAAGAGCGCGCAGTATGATCGCTGGGATTCATTTTGGAATAGCAATAATTTTGTTTGAGATATGACCATTGAAATGAAATGTATGTATGTGCAGTAGCTGCTTGGTGGAATGTAACAAACGAAAATTATGTAGATTAATGAAAACGAAGATGAAATGGATTACTTAACAATGAATCAATCTCTACTATCGTCCCGAAAAAAAAAGAAATACCAACCAACAATAACAACAGCAAAATCGTTTCTCAGCCACACTTCAGAGAATCCATGATCGAAATGCTCATTTTCCACTTTCGTTCAACTGATTTCAAAAGATTACATATTTTCATGCATCGCGAAAGCACAACACGAAACACAACTGAAGCAGAAGCATCAGCAGCAACAACGGCAACGTCAACAGCAGTAACCATTCAATGGTAAATAACTGGTTTGAAGTACCCCGAATTTGTGGTGTACTTTCAAAAAAAAAAAAGCGACCAACGAATCGAGACCCAATAGCCTGCTGCTGTTGAAAAAGGCAAATCTTTTTGTGTTTGTGTCACGATGTATTGGAACCGTATCGTGTTGGTACTGTGAATATGAAATAGAATCCAATTGCCATCATCGTCGTGTGTCTGTTGTGTAGAGTACACACAAAAGATGTACACGAAGATGAAGCAACATCAACAAAAAAAAAGTGCAAGAGAATAATACAGTAAGCCGTAAAATGAAGCCGGCTCGCGCGAATCGCACAGAATGTTATATCCATCGATGGTAACGGCGGTACGTTCAACAGTAAACATTCTTATAAATCGAATACGCGACACACAAACGACAAGAAAAACGAACAAAAAAAAATATCCAAACGATGCGAATATCTATCGATTCGATTCAACGTTTTTTTTTATCTTTTAAATTGCATTATGCATTAATTATTAGTGTATTTTAAATTGTTGTGAGTGATCGCAATTAGCTTTTGTCGAAGAAAAAGTTGCTTAGACAAAAGCCAACGAGAAATGGCCAAAATGAAGAAGTTAGTCGACAGAGCAAAAGATAAATAGAAAGATCATTTTGTTGTGTGTGAAAACAGAAAAAAAAACTGAATATTATGTGCTATGCATACTCACAACGAGATCTGGACAAACCTCTGCGCGCAACTACTCTACGGTAAAAAAAAATATTATTATTATTATTTACATTAACTTTTTTGTTCCTCTCTCTTTCCTTCTATCTCTCGTTCAAAAAAATATGTGTATGGTTGCAAATATGTACTCGGCTGTTCGGCGCACGTTACTTTGTTGGTGTGTGCGGTGTGTGCATGAATGGGCGAGTGAGTGAGTGTATGTTTGGATCAGTTTGAGTGAACGCTTTGCCATTTGTAAATTGTAGCGTTGATTTCAAGTTAAAACATTGTTTGAGACAACGTTTTAATGTTCATATTTTTTTGTGTTGTTGCCTCTTCTCTTTCTCTCTCCCTTCCTCTGTTTCTCTTTCCTTTTCTCGGCTCAATGCCCGTTCGCGCTATTGTGTGTTGTGTGCTGATCTTTCGCGCAAACACACGTACGCATGAATCGTTTACAACCACATGCAACCACACATATATTAAACAAATCCACAACATCGTCGAGCACACAGCACTTCTGTGGCGGTTTCTTCACGCAGTTTAAGTCTTTCTACTTAACTGACTGCACACGGTTCTGTATTCGTCTAGTGCGACGTTCTTGTTTGGTTTTTTCGAAGACTGTTTTGTGTGCGTTTTATTTCAGTATTTTCAGTTCAATCCCATTGTTATGTTTTTTTTTTCGTTGTGTTTGATTCTCTTTATTTTGTGTTTTCGTATACACGGTCAATGTGATCGAGATCGCTTGCTCATTTTTGGTTCTTATTCTTCTTTAATTTTTTAAGTGAGCATAAATCTTGTTTTAATTTTTTGTGCACAAAAACTGAACAAAAAAAACTAAATTAAATAAAACCATACATTTGCATTTTGCTGCATGCGCGTGCGTCCATCAGAACTTTCACTAAGAACATTATTCTTTCGATTGTAAAACGGGATCAACAAGTTTTGTTTATTACAGTCCTTTTTCCATTGTGTTTTGCATTACTTTCAAATTTCGAAATACTTTCTTTTGAAGTGAATTTCGTTGCGTTCCATCGCCAAAAGGAATTTGTAAAACATTAATCACAAAATTTTAATTGAATTTTAATGAGTTTATTTTTTTATTGAAAATTAAATCGACAAATGTTCGGTGTTACATCTTACGCTTGTTAATTTACGTGCCTTTTTTTATATTGGATGCTAATAATTGTGCGTGAGCTGCATTCAGCATCAATTCTTTATTGCTATGTAATGCAATGTACAATTTCATTTTAATTAGAATTTTATGCAAATATTTGTTGTTGTTGATTTCGCACAATATCTCGTGCAACCTTTTTTTTCAAGTGCAAATCTCATGTATAATCGTAGTTTTCTTCTAAATCTTGCTCCCGTTGCTATTTTGACTGGTATTTGAATGCGCGCAGCAAAATGCATGAGTGTGTATGTGTTTTTTTTCGCTCGATAGCTCTCACAAAAGCGGCGATCTTAATATATCTATTTTATCTTATGTTGTTGTTATTATTGTTTTTTTTTCTCTCTCAAAATTTGTAGTGCTTGAGAACTCCAAAGACGATTTGCGCAAGCATAAAACAAATTAATTCAGTGTTCTACATCGGTTTGAATTTGAATTTCACATAAAAGTAGTTTGAATGGCGCGGCAGTGTGCATATATGCATTGCATACGATTAACAGTGAAATAGCATAATAAACACACATCCATACAAAAAGAAGTATCATCGTTTTATGAACGCGAACATTTGCAACATATGAATGCAAATAAAAAGAGATAGAGAAAAAGAGAAAGAGAGAGAAAGAGTGAGCGGGAGATGGTTATAAAAACTACGACACGATGGAAAATGCTTTGAAAATGGTTAACATAAAAACAGAAAGAAACACCATGTACAAGATACGTGATGAGTGAGGTGGTAGAAGGAAGGTATCTTATATTGCAAACGAAACTGATAAAAACCCACAACAGCAACAACAACAAGAAAAAACACATAACAACTGTCTTGTTGTTAACTGCGATCCCAATTCTCGAATATATACCGAACTTCACATCGCACACTACAATCATACTAATCAGAGTGAATGAACAACGGGTTTTTAACACTCCTCGATGGTGTGCCCGCAATCAGGTTGATGTTGTTGGCAGGTCTGCATACGTATATAAATTTATGAATGCCGCAGCTGGTACACACAAACAGAACACTCCTATTTACTAAAAGTGGTTCACAAATAAAACTGATGAAACTTATTTGCAAGAACAAACAAACCCAGACAGCAAAAGAAGAAAATTACAAATAGAAATAGAACGAACAACGACGACAAAGTGTTTGTTTATATTGGCTTATTAAACGAAACAAAAACAAAAAAAGTCACATGACATGACATGATTGCATCGTTTTGAGAAGACTTCTAATAACTAATTATTTGTAAGTATATAAAATAATGATTATCAATCTTGTTGTAGTTTCGATCAATTTTTTTATATATTTTAATGGATTGATGTACATTCATCAAAATGCATTTCCGACGGTAACGAAAGTCACTAACACCAATTGACATCATTTTATCATTATCGGCAAGCGATGCACGAAGTAATTTTGCTTGATGCAATGCAAAATGTTAAAAGATTTACCAAGAACATAATTAAAGATCGTTGAACAGGCGAATGAGAAAAGCATTGAGAAAGAGCGGCCGGAATAACGGCCAATTAGATCTGATTCTATTTGGAAAAATAGTTGACATTAAATTGAATCGCGATATTAATGCGACTCAATTTTCCGAACACGTTTCATAGCAATCGATTCAATGATTATAAATGATGCATGCGGTGCATTCGGTGTACGATCATCACGTAAAACCGTTCTGATCGAACCATTTGAATAGTTACAGTTTTCGCATTTTTCTTCATTTCTTTCTATCCATTCGGTTTTGCACTAACTTTAGATTGAAAATAAAAAAAAATAACGAAAAAGAATTGCAAATATTTGTAACCGTTTTATTGTTTTCAAATAGAAAAAGAATAGAAAAAATTACGCATTTTACAAAAAAAAATAAAAAAAAAATCTCAAGCACAACACATAAAAGTATGCAACAGCATCACTAACAGCACTTAACTATTCTATTCACGCGTTCATTAATTATAATGCTTTTTAGTATACAATTATCGCATAATTATTGCAAGAGAATAAAAAGAAGAAGAAGAAGAAAAAAATGTAGTATAAAAGGGTAATTGAACGTCGCAAACAATTATATTGATGAATGTGACTACTATGCTGTATTGAAAGCGCACAAAGTGGAAAACAGATTTCTCTCAGTCTTCATTGTGGAAAATGTGTTTTCTCTCGATTCATATTCTTTGGGTTTTTTTTTCTCTTTACCATATATTTCTACTGACATTCGCATTATTTGTTAAAACGCAATACTGATTAAAAATTCATCATCAATATTTCTTTTTTTTCTCATGGTTCCAATTCTCTTCAGGCCGTCATACATATTCGAACGACATTTAAATTTTAATAGTTTTTTATCCATTCATTTGCGATTGATCTGATTTTGTTTTTACGGATATGGATAAATGGACCGATGAAATTATCACTTTCAACAACAAGATTAGTCAGTCATATGTCATTTTAAGTGCTTCACTCCTGTTCGATCAATTTGTGCGTAGGAATAAGAAAATGTCGCATCATTTTTACGGATTAATTTTCTAACGGATTTTCTTTCGTTCATCAATTCGATTCATTTTTTGATTTCCAAAAAAAGCGATGCAGAGCGAACAAAACACATCGAAATTAATGGTTCCATTTAAATAAATAAGTCGATGATACCGTTCCATGTATAGTATATACATACGGTTAATTTGAACACCACTCGAACAAAAAGCGAACTATAAAAAAGAAGCAGTTAACGGACTTCTATTGTAAAATTCTTGTATGAGTTTTATGCGTATACACTTATGTGCCCGCTCTCTCTCTCTCTCTCCCCATCAAAATAGATAGATGCTTTGGTTTTGTGCACTTTACATCATTATACACTTATTCGGCAGTTAAAGCTTCTTTAAGAATTGCTCATTTTTTGACAATTTTCTTCTTGCTTTCAGATTAAACGAAAAAAAGATGACAATGTATGTCGCCCATTTTCATGAGATTGACGAAAACGATTACAGTAACGATCGTCAAAAATTAAGAGAGAAGAAAAAAACGAATTAGACAATTCGAATATGAGTACACATGGCTATGGCTTAAGACAAACGTTTTTTTTCTTAACTGAAATTTCCAAATCTGTACAGTTGCGGGCGCGCTATTTTCATATTCATTTAATTCAGACAGTCGACTAGTTGTTTTATATGATGTACATTAATTCGTGAATTACAATTTTTCTTTCTAATGCTATTTTATTTTGTTTATTTGCTCTCGTTCCCTCTCTTGCTCTCTTTTTTTTCGTTCAATTCGCATTAATTCAAAGTAGAAACACGAAAATTACGAGAAAATAAAGAAAAAGCCAAAAAATTACAATTTCTTAAAATTCGTAAGTGAATTCGTTTTTTTTTTATTCAAGACTTTTTGAGAGATCGGTGTTTAGTTTATTTGCCTATTCATTGTATTTGAGCATCGATTTAAGGGCAAACACATACATAGCAACTAATTTAGCGATTGCTTTTCACAAGAATTGCTTTTCCAAAAAAAAGAGTTCCACGGTACGGGATTAATCTTTTTCCACTGTGTGTGTGTGTGTTTTTTTTTTCTCTCTCTAAAATGCAACATGCACATAGAAAATATGCAATCATTTGAGTTGCAGCGCACGTCATTGATGATGAGAAGTGGTTATTTGCTTCAATATATTTAATTCAATTCAAATTAAAAACAACAAACACCTTGTAATGTCCGAGTTTTTTTGTGTGGATAGTTTGTTGTGGTGTTTTTTTTTTTAATTTCATGTTACTACTTTATTACAAACGATCATCATACGATGATCCATTTGATGTGTCATAAAATATTGGATTTTATTAGTAGCTACGGTACACATATGAACCATAAATACCTTTGAACGGCATAGCACGTGTATCTCTGTACTTTCAAGAGCATTTGCGCTATTTATGCGCACGTTCACCCATCCGAAAAACGACGAAGAAGACGAAAAAGCAAACAGTTCGAAAATTACATTCGGGATGGCGATCGTAACTCGCGACTTGGTGCTGTATAAGAAAAAAATCGTCATTGTATAGATATAATGAGGAATGCAAGTAATAAAGCAGCTTATCAACGAATATTTTAGAAAACACATTTGTTTTTTTTTTTAATTTCGTTTAACCACTGCACTTATCTATGATTCAATATGAAGGTATGACCCAATGCCATCAACCTCTTTAGGTTTTTATCGCCGTTTTATTTCGTTGTTCGATTTGTTGTTTTTGTTCGTTCGTTGTCTTTGACGTTCAAATTTATTGTTTGATTGTCACATTACCACGAAATCCTCGAATGTGTTCCCAATTTGATGCAGTTTTTTGGGGTCGGCTTATGTAATTACGAGCACGATGATTACACGTGAAAATAAAAAAAAGTAATGTTGGTGATTTTTGTTTTTATGTCATTGCTTTGAAAAGCTTAAGGAAACTATTGCATTTAATCATGATTCGTTTGAAATTGAGATTTAACAATGACACAAACATGCATACAACACATGGGAATTGAGGCAACGGTCATAGAACAAATTGAGCGTATCGCACCTAAAAGTAGTAATCAGAGTTGTAGATATATAATATATGGAGAGAGCGAGCTGGAATTGTTTCACAATCGATACAGATTCCGAGCACTATATCGAAACTCCGTAATTGGAACGCGCGCGTTTGCATTGCCCATTATAATTCAGAGAAGAGAAAGAAAAACAAGCACAGTCCGAATGAATCACCTCCAACCATTTGCCATTGAGCTTCAGAAGGAATGAACAAAGTTATTACGTTATTTTTCCATTCCTTTTTTTTTAATTTTTCGTGCGATATCTTTGAATGTGTGTCTTAATGAACCGTTATAGCTTGTTGTTACTGTTGGTTTTTTTCATTCTCTTACTCTTTTTCTCAACGCTCCCTACTGTATTATTGCAAATAATTCATATACTTAAAAAGGCTATCGATCTCTAACGCTAATGCGCGCTTGCAGAATGGTGCAAACTAAATATGGATGAAATGCACGATTCGATGTATATTTTTCCACAAATAAATTATGTACACGGATCAATCCGTATTTACCGTATGTGTTACATTGTAAATATTGAAGCAGACATAACGCACGGCAAATGACAAACGATCAAACGAAACGAAACGAAAAGAAAACATTGCATTTTAAAGAGTTCAAACAATCGATGGGATCACACGTGAAAAGAGAATTAGAAAGATAGAACGATTTCTCGATAGACTCAAGCACACACATAAATATGCATTGCGAATTGACAACGATCGGTTTGATTCGCCGATCATATTTATATCTGTCATTGTTTGTTATACTCATTCGTTATTCTCAGTTTGGTGCGTTTGTTTCTCTCCTCATCTCTTCCACTTTTTCTTCTTCATTTTTTGTCCATTTAGCTTATTATTGTGGCCGGGTATTTTACTGTTATTCATGCATATATGCGTTGCACGCGCATCGAATGCGCGCACACTGTTTTTTTTATTTACGGTGTGGTATGTTGGTTTTTAATTCGTCGTATTCATCGGTTCAATCCATTTGGCGGCTTCTATGTGCTGCGGTATTTTTCCTCATTTTTTTTAATTAAAATGTTTTAATCGGAAATGGTCGGATATGATGCGCACACATATGTGCAATGCACTCAATCGTTGCTTTGCTCATAAAAAACAAGTGTCGTAGTCACATTGCTATTATATCGTGAGCGATTCTCATGGTTCTTTTTTCGGTGTTTTTTTTTGTGTGCCGCACTGTCGAAAGCAACGATAATGAATGAATAATGATATTTCATTGAAAAGAAAAGCGAGAGAAAAAAATAGAAAAAGCAGTAAAACCAAATCAAAAGGAGATAGAGATAGACGTTTCGATATAAAAATCAGAGAATATTGGCACCAGCATAAAACGTCTACATATAAAACGTCCATATTACGCTGCTTAGTTCAGCTATGAGGAACACAAACAATAATGCACAAATTATACCAAATAAAACAACAGCAGCAACAACAACAACAACCACAACAAAACAGCACAAAATAATAATCGTAAAATGGAAAGTTTACACAATAAAGACGAAACACTTCAACAAACTAGACATAACAATTTCAAATGACGTGGAGTTTTTGTGAAATATTGCGCTCACTCATACACAGTTTCAATAACTTCCGTCTGATAATGTTTCTTGGTCTTAAATGCCATGCACTTAAGCATGAACAATGGTCTCTATCAATGACGAAAGAACTATATTTTTG